TCCAAGGAAATATTTTTAGCAAAGTGCTAGCTGGGGGTTTCCAAACTCATGTCCAGCTGAACAGGTTTAGGAATTACCTCTAGGTAGTCCTCTGTTTTGGAAGACTTGTGTCATTTTTATTTTCATGTGATGACCTATGCGCTTATTTGTGTAATACAGCATCTTTGGGATAGTTTATCACAGTTATTTCTTATCTGGATGTTTACAGCTGCTGCTGTTTAGAGGTTAGAAATGTGTCTAGGCAGCTTATGATCCTGGTTTGGACTTGAAAGCTCAAATGCTTTCTGAAGTACTACATAGAGCCGGACTCCATACAGTGAGACACTGACTGTGAAGCAGTAAATCCGTTAAATTTTGGTCTTTGGCAACAAGCAAGTAATTCTAGACTAGCCTTTTTGCATCCCAACTATCTGAGATATTTGGAATTGCTTTTCAAAACCTTTAGATGAAAATGATCTTTGCTAGCACTCCTAGTGCTCATTGTGGTTTTCACTTGGAGAAATTACGCTGTAAATGACAACTGTTCTCCATACAGTTCCATATTGAAAAGAGAGACTTGTATTTCACTGCTTCAGTTGAGAAAGTACAAAGAAAGCAGCATGGACAGTCTGTGGAGGAAGAGTTTGACAGTAACTCACCAGGAGCGTGTGCATTAATTTTCCCATGAGAAAAGTGGAAATCTGCCCAAGTGGGCACTGTGCTTTTTGCCATTTGTCTTTAGTAACCCTCCCCAGGAACCTGACAGGGTGAGTGCCCAGAAAATTGAGAGGATGCAGGTGTTTTGCTTTGTGGGTACCTCCAACTAGTGATGGTGCTTCAGCCTGCTTTCGGCTGCAGGGTGCTGTATTTTAATTCAAAAAAAGTTGCCTCATGTTCCATAAACTTGGCTACATTTTGTTAGATGTATTGTGATACAATTCAGTGCACTTAACTTCAAACCTGTTCATGTGTAGCTGAAGATGGCAAGGGCAAGATCAGTGCTACATTGGTATAGCACAGACTAGCTGAAGAAACTGTGTGCTCCTCAGCACTTTCTATGCTGGCATTTGATCTTTATAGTAAATACAGGGATAGCTCATTTATTGTAGTCTGGTTTGTTGCAGCACCTCTCTCTGTCTCCTTGTGTATATTCTCGCTTCGCCCTTCTGCTTTGCAACTAGCTAGCATTCATGTGACTAAGGGGAAACAGCTCAGGAAACTGATCTGGCTGAAAACTCATCTTGTTTTTATAGGGCTGGAATGTGGGGGCTTTTCTGTTGTGGTTATGTATTTGTGTAAAGCTGCGCTGGAACTGAACAACTGAACCCCGATACTCTACATAGGTGCATTTGTGTTGTTGTTCTTGCCTTTACCTCCGTATTTATATATATATTTTTATAACACAAATATATGAAGCTGTAATAAATCTGTAATAAACCTGGCTATGTCCAGGTATCTTGACATGAGTAAAATACATGCTGTAATATAGTGATTCTTTTGTAAAGGAAAAAAAAAGTAAGCTTGGCAATTCCTAGCTTTTCCGAAGAATCTAAAAATTGTTAGATCTTTCAAGCTGACATTCCAGATAATAAAGAGAAATATTTGTAATGAAGTTCCAGAAACATTTTTTCACTTAGATTATTCACTCAAAAGGATATGTACTATTGTTAGTTCTGGCTAATATGTAATCCAGCTGCAGGTGTTCTGAATTTTTAAGCTCTCTGTTGCCAAATAGCACCAAAAATTAACGTTTAGAATACTCGGTTGCCATGGTTATTTCTTGGTTAGAAGATTGCCAAGTAACTATAAAATGAAACCAATGCTTTTGATGTGCCCTGAAGTGAGGAAAGGAAAGAAAGCAAAGTTCGGTGAGAACTGAAACATTACTTAGTAATCTTTGTCTTATAGGTATTGGAGAGACCTTGAATACTCAAATATATTTCACTTCCTTTTTATTTTTCTTTTAGCTGTATTTCTTGCTTTAACATTTGTTGATATGTAATTGAAGCAACATGCGCAACTGGTTTTGGTGTGCTTTTAGTCACTTTTTCCCCTTTTACCTTAACTGCGGTGCTTAAACTTGAGGGTTTTCAGAAGCAAGTTTCTTAATGCAGTGAAATCAGAACTCTGTTATATATCTTTGGGCACATACATATGTTTTTTTTCCTTTTGCTTTCAGCTGTTTTGATCTTAAGGGATCAGACTCATTTCAACCTGCTAGTGTTCTCTTGCCACTAGCACTGAGGTATAGCTTGTACCTAGAATTTCATTTATCCCTATTGTTCATTCACTAGATCCAGTTTGTGCAGGTAATTTGTTGGTAAGAATATGATCAGGTACGTTTAAAATAGATTCTTTCCCGAGACAGAATTTAGAAGGTGGATTCTTGATGTTTTCTTATTATCATCACACTCTCAAGGTCAAGGTGTGACCTTGATGTCAGATATAGCCTGTTAGACTTGAGATTGGGAGCATAGGAAGAAACTGAAGCAAAAAGCAAACTCAGAAATCCCCCCCTGCCCCTCCCGCCCCTGGCATTTGGTGAAAGAAAAGATGTAAGAGGCCTTATATTGCAAAGTGGATTTGGACATGTCTGAGTAAAATTACTGAGCATTGCTTAGGAATAACCAGATTGTAAATTTTCTTTTTATTTTTTTTTTTTAAATTATTATTTTAATTGTGTCTGGACCTTGACAATCTTTATACAGGACAGACTTCACCATATTGGGGGAAGGGAGGGAGGCCTCTATTTAGTGGGCGTGTGTTTGAATAATGTTACGGATATTTCACAATGCTATGAACTCTTACAGTGAGTTTTTTCAGTGGAGAAGGTTAGATGCTGTGCTTCTTGGGGAGAACAGAATGGTTTGTCTCTTCTGGTTACTTGTACAAGAACTAGGACTAGACTGTGTGCTGGCATAAAGCAGAAGTGGGTGAAGAAACTCTGGTCTGTCTAGTGCTGGTTGTTTAAAGATGTAATTGTTTGTTTAAGTGCATTATTGGATCAGGACCAAAATGTTTTCAGCACTTCATTGGCTGAAGCCCAGGGAGAACAGTTGTATGTGCTTCATGCTGCTCAGAGAAAAAAGACATGGCCATCAGTTTATTGGCTTTCACGCATTTTGGATAGCTGGGGCCACCTGCATAAGTAAACTTTTATTAAGTTTGGGTTAAGAAGAATTTAAGACATTTTGAGTCTTTCAGTTATTTTCATGTACAGTACTAGCTTTTGTACATGGCAGCATGAAAAGAACACTTTTCATATTGTAAACCTATACAGTTCTGGTATTTCAGTGTTTTTTGTATAGAATGTATTGAACAAGTCATGGGCAGAAACATGTTATTGCTTATTTTTTCTCTTAATCTGTTGGGTTAATATTTTTTGAAGAATGGTTTGGTGTTTGGTTTTCAGTTATGAGCTTTTTGGTTAAATATAGTTGATACTATAGTTCAGGCACGTACCTTTCTTGTTACATCTACAAATCTTTAGTCACACTTTCCTTCATTTTTTTCCTAATTGGCTGAACACTAGCTTAGTTTGGAGGCATATTGCCTGAACAGGCCTCAAAACAAGTTTCAGAAGTGGCCAACTATAACATTTTATTCTAATGTAGTGTTCCTTCGAGAACTTTGCTGCTGTTGTGTTAAAAATGTGCAGGCAAATACCTTTGACTAGTCATGTGTATTCTAATGTAATATTGTGCCTATACTGTTAAGTCCACATTGCTTTGTGTGCTTTTGTTGCCATCACCAGTATGAGGACTGTTCACAGTGATTTAAGGTTTTGGAACCTAAACCAGATTTTTTTTTTTTTTTTTTTCTGTTTGGGTTGGGTTTTGGTTTTGGTTTTGTTTGTTTTTTTTTTTTTTTTGTTTGGTTGGTTGGTTTTTTTGTTTGTTTGTTTTTTTGTTCTTTCGTCTAAAAATACGTTAGGTTTCTTTTCAAGAAACTTGAACATTTTCACAAAAGTTTTTTTTGCAGCAGTTTAATTGTGTGGGAGGCTCTTAAAATGAATTTCTTGTTCTATTACATGTGTTTGTCTTGTATCATATAGAGTAACAATGTCCCGTTAATTTTAAAGGGGTAATGTTAGTAGTGAGAAACCCTTTCCAGTAAATCCAACACTGATTCAGGCCTCATTCAGCCCTTCCAAGATTTTTGTAAGTTGAAATTAAGTATTCTGTATCTATAATTGAAATAACCAGTGTTTAAACCGAACTTTTTTTTTTTTTTTTTTTTTTTAAGGGGAGAGAGGAGGGCGGAGAGGGGTGTGAATTTAGGGATCAAAGGTATGATTAAACAATCCTGTGTCAGTTTCTCTTCCTTTATTCCACCTGCTTGGGCATGAGAAGGTTGGGGAGGGCTTGATTGGACTGTCACACAAAAGGAACAATCTCTGGGAATGGTTATTCATGCTTCAAGTATGAGAAGGAAGGAGCAGGAGCAACCTGGAATAAGAAGACAAAGTGGCTGAAGTTTTTGGTTTCTCCTTTCCTCAGCTGTAAATCCCGGATTAAATACAGTCCTTGTGATGCCTTTAAACACACACTTGTTAGGTGCATTGTTTTCTGGAAATCACCTTGGTTTAACAGCAGCAAGTACCAAGAGGTATGTGCCAAGTACTACTTTAGTGTAGGTAACAGCAATTCCTGTATATAATCCCCCTCAGTAATGTACACTCCTTGGGCAAAAGTAAATTGCAGGAGAGGGTTTCTAGTCCTTGTCTGGCTCATAATCTGCTGTCCCATGCTGTGCTTTTGTTTTCCCTTTCGCTCTTGAAGCAGCAGCTACTGTCTCCCTATGGCTTGAAATGGCTGGTTCATGCCATGTTTCTTGGCAGTGCTTGCTGTAGGTTGTAAGCTGTTGAGATGATGGAGGCCTCTATTTGTGGATACCTGCAGCTGCAGAATTTTTTTTGCAGTTTGTCTTTCTTTAGGATCTATATAAATAATTATAGTATACTGGGGAACTCACAGTGCAGAATGGAAGTGATTTTTATTTCTAACCATAGCTTTCGAAACATGCACATGGCAGGTATGTACCTAGGCTTGTTTTTTAAATGTGAATTAATATCCCCTATGGTTTCTTTCAGATTTAATAATTTATATATTATCTATCCTTACTATTTAAGAATTGTAATTAATGTGTTTTAGTCATCTATAAACACAGGTATTTGTTTGTATTGATAAATAGTAATGGCTTGATTAGCTTGCAGATAGTGTTTTCCTACAAAATAAAGAAATGTCTTCAACAAAGGAAAGCATCTCTTGTTGCAAGGAGTCCTTGAAGTGGTTATTTCCACTTACAATTGCAGGCTTCCTGAATTTACAGGAATCCTAGAATGCATTCCTATTGATAGAAGAGATTGCTTGCTTTGAAGTTTGCCTGCATTTATAATTATCCTTTTGTGTTTACTGCAACCTCTTAAGTTGATCAAAAATCCTTGGCCAGTCTTGAAGCATTGGTAAGTCTTACCCAGACTTACACTGCAGCCTTTCTAAGTTTTAGTGCAATGACTTCTTTTCTTACTGTCTTTTCTTAACCTGTTTATAAAAATTATCTTTCTTATTATGAGTAAATATTTGTTACTATTTTTCAAATTCTACCAGTGGTTTTGGTGGGTTGGGTCTTTTTATTACTGGGTTTCGGGGTTTTTTCCCCCACTCAAGAGGAAGTTGCCTATCTGGCTTTGTAATATTAGAGGTGGATAGTTCAGTGAGTCCTAGGAGCCACCCTTGTGGTTTAAGCCTCATTATTTCAGGCACACTGTAAATCTAAAGCAAAACTTTTTTGATTTCTGTCCCAAAGAGCTGACCGCTTTCTTGAGAACTTTAAGTACTTCCAAGAACACAGCTGATGCATACTGTCCCGTGTGAAAGAAGTGACTGTGGATTACATAAATTGATATTCCCAGTCTGCCAAAGAGCGAATACCATCCCTCATTAAAAAAACATATGTCTATATGGCCTTCATTGGCTGGCAGCAGGGGAGGTTGGGGTTTGGCTCTTGTAGGCCCCAGAAACATGCTGTGTCTGCCTTAAAATATTTCTATTAAAAAATGACAATATTTTTTGAGGGAAAGTTAAATATACTTCATATTTGGATACACAGTAACTAATATGTAAAATACGGGTTATTTAAATTCAAATATGTTTGTAGCTTGTGGATGTTTTTAACGGTTATTAAAAAAAAAAACAAAAACAAAAAGCAATAAACAAAACCCAGACCAAACAAACACTCCCCTCCTCCCAAACTTTCTAAGAAGGCATACCCAGTTTGCATCTGAACCGCCAAAGTCTTTGAACATACATAGTATCTGAGAGGTGTTCGAGCAGAAGATGCTTTATTCTGTTTCTTCCATTCAGAAGAAAGCATAATATAAGGAGCTGTGAAAATTCCATTTAGTATCTTATAAAAAGAAATGTTTAGATGCTCAGGTGGCAAATGGTGATGTCAAGGATTTTTTCTTTAGCGTATGGAGGCTTGAGCAGTGCTTCGGTCTAGCAGAGAATTGGCACAAGTGCTTTTTGGCATGTAGCTTCTGCTGTTAACTGCAGTAGAAATGCTTGTAGGTAGGACCGTGGAGTTATTTTCACTAGGGTAACCTTTGCTGTCCTAATTTTAGAACAGGAGCCTGATTTTAAGTCAGTCACTCTTCTCCCCTAAACCATCTCTGCCTTTTCCTTTCTCTCTGGGCAAGTGCCAGTGATGCTGCCTCGGTACAATTTCCCTCCCTACTTTTCAGGGGAGCAATGCTCCACACGTTCCTTCTCTGCACTGTCAGAGGTGAGGCTGACAATTGGTGTGTGCCCCTCTCTGGAAATAGTTTTGCTCTGACAGATTCAGCTTTCAATAGAGCCACTGCTGACTACAGTTCAATGTACACAAGGTACACTGCTAGTGTTGGTAACCTAGCTACAGGCATAATCAAGTGTGCAAAATATGTGGGGTTTTGTTTGTTTTGGGGTTATTTTTTTGTTTCGTTGTTGGTTGTATGTTTGTTTTAATTAAATAATACACTCAGCTTTATGGTCTCTGCACAGTCATATATGCTACCCAAGCTTCCCATCGTAGGTTTGCAATATTCCTCTGTTAGATTGGAAGGTGTATTTTTTCTCTGTTTTGGTCAAGCTTGATTCAGGTTTATAATCCTGATATTCTGTATGGAACTAACTTGATGGTGCAGTAACCATCAAGCAATCATTTTGTTGTTATCTGTGAGAAATTAGAAGACAAAATAGAAATCTGAGGTACAGAAGAATTTTCTTGAGAAGGAAGTGCCAACTTGTTTTGAAACTTAACCCACTGAATAAACGCAAGAGAAATTTGGCCTTTTGTCAGGAAGACTGATTCTTTGTTTGCTTTAATAGTTCATATTTTCTGGTTAACTGTTGAATATAAAATCTTAATAGTTATAGTAAGATACAGCTGAAAAAATATGAGGGGGTAAGTCACTGTTGATTTCCTGTATCTCCAAAATGCTTGTCATTGTCAAGACGATGCCTAGCTTTTCCGTGATGGAATGTAATAGCGAAAGATTCCAAAGATTTGTCTGTGTGTATCATATTTCAAATAATAATTAGTATTCTGTTTATTTTTGGGTGAGAAATAAGACCAAAACATCACTGTAAAGTTTTTTATTTAATACTGTCTAATTTGAAATAAATTTTGTGAACACACTAATGGGTAGGGTAGGAAGTTGAAAGAGTCTGTAGCGAGTTGGAAATCACTTTGATTTTATTTTCAACAAAAATCAATTCAAATATATAAAAAGATTTTCATATCTTAAATTCTACCCTATAATAAATAGTATGTTTCATTTTGGAGTTATTCCTTAATCTTTCAAAATGTTTCATAATGGAAATGCTTTTATGTATTATGTCCTAATGGAAAAGTACTGGTGCTGCTTCACTAGGACAAAAATAAACAAAGTGAAGGCAAAAGGTAAGTCTTTTCAAATCTCCAGCTCAGTCTAGCTCTAATAATAATATTAAAGTATGGCTAGCTTGGAATGTCTTGTCTTCTGTTTAGACCTCAGACACATTTTTAGACTGTTGGTTGTTCTTCCTCTGATGTTTATGGAAGCAGTTTGATTTTAAAATCTGAATTAATTTGAACTGGGATTTGGTTAGCAGGGGAATGCAATCTGCTTTCAAGAATAGTTCTTTTTGTTGAACTTGCTTCTAAAATTTAAGTCAAGGTAATGAAAGTATTGTATATGGAAACTAATCAAGGAAAACAAATTTTATAATGTCTTCCATCTTTCTGACAGGTTGTGAAGATGAGAAAAGATGTGAAGAAGGCCAGAGTCCTGACTATTCGTAAACTAACAAGACACATTGGGAAATTAAAGTTAAAAAAGTCAGTTTTAAATATCAGTATTCTTGTTTGTGTGTTCATAAATGAGATACATCTTAATTGTTTTCCCAAAAATGGGGAAGTGGGAGAAACATGTATTACTTTTAAATCTTAAGGCACTACCATGCATAAATTGTTTGTCTTATTTATGTCACTTTAGATAAACGAAAAATGCTAACTAAAAAGCAGTTTCATTAGGCAGAATTGGGATAACATTTTTTAAAGGGATTTATTGTGTTGGAGGCTAATTGGATCACCTAAGAGAACCTTTTACAGCATTTTTAAAGGTGTCAGCTCTGATCTTTTAGGGTTTTTTCTGCTGTTGATTGCAAGTTGTGCAACCTTTTCTCACTTCAGTTTTCTGAAAGGTTCTATAGCAAAAAATATTGTTCAGTTTGCACAGATACGCAAATCATACTTGATTTTTAATAATTTGTATTAATTAATATTTAAGCAAATAGTTAAAACAATATTTTGTAGATTATGTTTTTAAAGATAACTGGCCCTAAGTAACATATGACATGATTTATTTATGCAATAAAAATACATCTGTTACTGTGTTCAAAGTGTAAATTGAGCCTACTTTTCTCCCACAATTTTAGCAAATTTTGCAAAGTAAGAAACACACCCAATGATCTTCTATATTTAAATATTCCAGATCTTAAAAGGTAATTATGTTTGAGATATCAGTGTCTCCTATGTATTGTTGATAGGAGTTACATTTGTCTGTCTCATTCTGGTAAATCCTCAGTACTTTTTTTCTCTGTTCAGAACAGCAGAAGTATTACATTGTGTCCAACTCTTTGCTAGAATATTCATTTACCAACAGGGGAATGTGTTTATGCTCACTGTTGCAATATTTTAATTTTGCTACTTAGTATTAGCCCACAGGGAAGTAAAGTGAGCAAAAAATATTTTCTTTTTTTACTAAAGACTGACTTTATTTGCAGGGGTTCTGAAGATTTGAAATTAAAGAACCAAAAACGAGTTGATAGATTAATTGAAGAAATCCATGCCATGAAGGTAATACCATATTTAGATACTTAAATATTAGAGGCAATTAATTTTTATTACCAAAAGCTTTGTTTTCTGGACTGCATTACTGGAACTTAACTGAAATATTTCAAGAGTCAGTTTGATAGTTACTGTAACACTGAAGGAAAATTGTGAGTATTTGCATATTTCCATTGTTTGCTGTGTCTGTCAAAGTGTTAAGACAGTTTAAGTCTTCATCTTGCCAAGCTAAACATGAATTTGTCTAGAAATGCATGGTGCTTTAAGTTTTTACTGTAACAGTTAAAGTGCAGAAATTAAAGTTCTTGTACCTCTCAGGAGTATGGAAGGCATTTTGTGTGCCTGACTCTGTGGTATCCTCATTGTCAGTTCTCTTATTGCCACACATGATGCTATTTACATTTTACTCTCAACTTCAAAGTTCTGTGGTAGTTTGAAATTTTAGCTGCAAGGGGCTGGTAACACTTGAGTCAGAACTTTTTTTTATCTTCAGCTTTGCTGATGGAGTTTTTCCATCTTTGATGTTATGACATACTAGCAAATGCTTCAGAAATTATGTAACTTTGTAGTGTTTTGTACTGTTGTATCTCAGTTTTGATTGATACTGCTGAAAATTTTGTGTGTTGAAATGAGGTACAAATTCCAGTCCTAAGGCTCGAGTATGAGAGTCCTGTACAGGCTAAGAAAATTGTCACATAAATGCCCGTTTATTTTTCCTTGATGACTTCAGTGAGTAAGTCACCGTTACTGTTGTGTGTTGGTTTTCTGACCCACTGAGATGTGCTTTGTGCCATATTCATCACGTGGAGTCATAGGGATTTTCAGCACACTGCTTAAAGGGAAAAAGAAATAGTGCAGCGCTGTTTTGAAGTGTAAAGCACTGGTAAAGCAACATGACAGTCATATTGAGGCTTTCTCTTTTTCTGGCTTGCCATCAGTCTTGGTCATGTGATTGACTTGGGGGGGCCTGGGTTATGGCACATTTGTGTCACATTTATGTGTCCATTGGAGCATGATGGGAATTCCGGAAATGTCTGTCAAAGCATAAGAGTTTGCCTCAAGCGATCAGGTGTGGTGCAGCACTGAGCTTACAAGCCCGTGTTTTATAGGGCTTCTGTGAGCACTCCAGAGAGGGTTTGACTGCAAGATCCATCCTTTACATGTCTCCCAGAAGTGTTTCCTTTGTCCAGATGTGGATGAAATCCTTCCAGGAGTGGCTCGTGCAGATATCTTAAACAATGCCTGCCCTTAGGACCGTATTGGCCAAGTACATTCAAGCTATTTCTTCAGTTGGCCTTAATGAGTGCAGGACTTGTGAGTGTTAACTTTCAGAGTTATTGTCAAGGAAGGATAGATTTGTGATCTGGAGAGCTGAAGGCAAATAAATTTTGGTTTGAAATAGTTTGCAGAAATGGAGGAGTCTTCAAAGTGAGCAACTGAGGAGGAAAAGCTCTCCCACTTCTCAGGCAAATACCTGGTAAATATGCTCAGTTACCTGAAATTGCTCTGTAAGTGGTCTTTACTGTTAAAAATGCACCCTTATAGTAATAGTAATAATATTTTTATAGCAGAATAGTTGGTTTACTTGGGACATTTTAGTCATTAAAAATGAACAGGCACTTACTAGCTCTACAGTGTATTTATTCCTTAGACAAAAGAAAATTTGCTTATGAATCACAGCCTAAAAGACACTAGTTGTTTACATATATTTCATTACTGTTGATATCAAGACAAAGCTTTTAGAGGTGGCATAGAAATATTTCTCATTCCGGATGGAAGAGTAACAAGACAGCTTTCACAGAAATCGTATTTGAGGTAGTGGGAGATTTTATGCTGGTATGTCACTCCAACAACCTTTTGTTTTAAGTTATTCATCATAGGGTTCATAAAGAACTCTTTGTATAACTTGAATGGGTATTTTAGAATTTTTAGGAAAGAATAGAAATGGTTAATAAGGTAAATTGGTAAGCAGTTTATGAAGGTGCAGCTTAGAACAGGATTGTATTATCCAGACTGTTCTAGCAGTTTTAGTGTATGAGTCCAAAACATTTATCAGAGAAGATGCAAATTCCTTTCAAAACTGATTGTATACGTGCAGGAATTGGTCATTTTCTATGTAACATGCAGAAATAGTCTATAAACTTCTACTTACATGTTTTATGTGAGAAAAAATGTCTGCTTTATCCATTGTTGAATGTTTAGTCTTGAGGAGTGTAGCAAGCTGCAAAGAGAAGTTGAGCTGAAAGACAAAAACCAAAATACATACACGAGCCAAAGTAGTTTGGAGCCAGAAAGGGGATGTTGCACCAGAGTCTTGACAGCATGTGTATTTTCAGATTAAAAGATTTCTTGAGATGACTACTTGCAACTTCTAGAACTTCCTTATTGGTTGGACATAGACTTGAAGTGTTCTTGCACGTTGAAGAAAATGCATCTTAGAAAGAAAAGGGAAATAGTACAGGTTTTTGTCCTGAGCTTTTCCCATTTGCCAGAGACAGCACACCTCTTTCTAAAGACGCATTTTTCTTTCATCAGTCAAGAACAGACCCAAACCACCTTTCCCCTACCACATATCCAGGAAAAACAAACAAACCACTTTGGGTGCTGCTGGCATGAACAAACTCTTTTTTGTGAAGGACTTTACATATCCTGATGACCTCAGAAGGTACTAGAGTAGAATTGCTTTTCACAGGAAATTTGTTTCAAGCTCAGAGAAGAGAGACTGAAATTCTGGGACCTTGACACCGCTGACTGTTTTAATGAAGTTTTTAATGTGATGACTGAAGTTTTTCGTGCTCAAGAAAAATATCTGGGGGGTTGAAATCACAGTAAGGAAGAATTCTTTTCCGTAAGAATTGCATATCTGCATTCAGCTGCTTGTAAACCTGCAAGTTTTCTGTACTAGTCATTTACTTCGGGAATCTGTTTCTTGGTAAGCACAGTGTTTCAGTATGGTTGCTGCCACTTTGTGGAACAACTGTTATCTTTCATCCAGAATGTAACAAAAAAAACCAAACCAAACCAAAACAACAACAACAAAAAAATCAATAAATCATTTGCATGGTGGTGCGACTGCTTTTAAAGGTTGGCTGCCTGCAGCTCAGCAGGACTTGTAAGAGCTGCTGTCCTGAATGAGACAAATGTGAACTTTCAGGTACAAGCTTTTCACTTCTCTTTTTAGTGTGGATCTTTACTAATTATAATTTGATATTATAGGAAGGAGAAAATGTTTGTTATTATTTGGTAACTGTCTTATCATTAGCTCTGGGAGGTGCTTTTATCCTGTCTTCAAGTAGACTCTAAACACACCCCGCTCACTTAATTTCATAGTAAATATACTGTTTCCTAGGAGTGGGAGATAATTAGAAACTCACTTTTCAGATTAAAATGCCATGTCTATGTCTACATTTTTTTTTTATACTCTATACATAAGCACAAATGCACAGTTCTGCATATATTGAAAACCTAGGAAGTTTTGGTGCTGGGCTGTATTAAGAAACCTTTTGTTATTTAAATTTGCAAATGTAGATACTGCATTACTGTTGGAATATATATTTTGATTCTATATGTCTTCATAGTTAGAATTGGAGATCTAAACATAATTGGCAAATACAATTAGTAATGTGTGAAGCATAACAATTAGAAGTAAACACTGTGAAACTTGAGAGCAGTTAAAAATTCCATCTACGTGGATGCAGGAACTGGGTTAATTGTTTGCAGGAGTTCTCAAAGCTATTGGAATAGTACACTGTTTTCTGAGTTCTTCAGATTTTGTTTTGCCAAAACCATATAAAATATTTAGCAATTCATGAAAGATGGGGAGAAAGAACAGTATGATCCTTTCTAGTCCTTCTACTATGATACTACTTTTTTATAATATAAAGTTCTGTATACTTGCAGGAATTTTTTTACTTGTTTGTCAGGCTTGATGGTACTGTCAAAATGAATCAATTATCTATTGTAAGATACTTCTTACCGTATTGAGGAAGCTATGGTATTTTAAAAAAATTCTTTATAGAAAAATAACCGATTGTCTTGTGATTTCTTAGCAACATGTAGCTTATCTTGCATTGTTTAAATTTCTTGGCTGAAATTAAGTCTTCATACAACTGCATGTGGTTGCTTTACTGTGTATTTAAGACTAGTTACTGCCTTTATCTTACAGTGAAAACCTTGGTATTATGGCAGATGTTGCTATAGCAATGTCATGTTTGGAGGATGCCCATAAATTAAATATGGAAGAAAGGCTATTTGCAGTGCTTGAAGGGAAAAATGTCTGCCAGTTGTTAGGAATGAGCAGCAGTTAATGAGTAGCTATTGTTAAATGGTTGGGAAGATATGTTCCCTATCCTGAAAATTATCACAGGAGAAACAGATAAGTCAGTACAATGTTTTGATTTTAATGCACTTAAAACACAAGATTTATCACAGAATAAGGAGTTTAGTAGAAGAGATACAGGAACAAAGAATGCCTAATTCTCAATTTTTTTGTCTCAACTTTATATTTTAGCAAAATAAGAACAGAAGTAGAGTTATGTGTGAACTCCAGTATTACTGTCAAGCTTTTGAAAGCCAAAATGTTTTGTGAAGGTAGAGATTCAGTATGAAAGATGTTTTCACAGCCTTTGTCCTTGGAACAAAAATCATGCAATTTCTTGCCCATATCACTTAATTTCATGAACGGTCTTTTGCTCAGGACTGGGCAGCTGATAATTTTAGAGTAGCTCAGCCTAAAGAGCTTGATAAATGTTGCTTTTAGTCTGGTCTTTTTGTATGGAGTTTTTGTATCCTGAAATACCGTGCTTTTTCAAAAAGTTTATTTCTTTTTTTTTCCTAACAGCAGTGGTTTCTTTCTTTGGTTAATGCTTTTATCTAATGTAGCCTTGGTTTTGGTTAAAACCTCACCATAGCATTGTCTTAAGATTGAAGACTTACGCACTTTTTTCCAGTTTCACTTTTTCTTTCTCCTAGCATATACTTCCAGCAACAGCCTTGCATATTCATAATAG